AAGAAAAAAGTCTTTTTCTTTTAGATTATTTTCTTTTTAATGACTTTACGCAGAAGTTTCTACTTATTTCTAATTCTAATTTCTAATGCAATTTGTTTTTAATATATAAAAGATGCTGGGGACATTTTTTATTGATTAAATACAATATAAAAAAATTAATTGAAAGTGACTTGAAAAGCCTGTTTGATTATATTATCTAGTCTTATTCTTTTGCTCTCCATTTTTTGTTTCATATATATATAAAAAGAAACAGATAATTGCATGGTAATTATTTTTTGTTATTTATTTTATAAAAACAGTAAATAGAAATATGTTTGATAGTGATTACTTAGTTCTTCTACTCAAAAATATTAAATTTAAAAAACAAAAGTTGTACATGGAAGTAAATGTTTTTATAAAATATAAAAAAATTATGAATGATATTTTATTTATGTGCTTGAAATATTAGAGATAGAAAAATAAACAATAATTAGCTTTCATTGTTTTCAAAATCTATCTGCAATTTTAGGAACGCTTTTTTTAAAGATAAGAAACGTCAAATATTAACCGTTATCTAACACTTAGGTTTCTAAAAGATTGGTAATTAATAAAATATATATATATATATATATATATATATATATATATTACCAATAATGAACCTTTAGAAGTTAATTTCTTATTGGTGGGCCGTGTATAATAGGTAATATAAATTAATACTATTATCTATTACTGTATTGTATAACTATAGATGTAATATTATAATATAAAATGGTCAACCAAATTATTTATAAAAAATTACTAATTAATCAAATATTTTAATAATTATTGTTTTTTCTAATAAGATACATTTATCTTTCATTTATTTAATTCAACGATGGTTGTTGATGTATATTATATACACATTTTTTTCAGAAATTATTTGGGGACAGGCTTAGAAAAATTGAAAACTCTCTTGCTAATTTAACTAAGCTCCCCAGCAGTTGTTCATTCACTTTTTAAAAATAGCATAGATTGATTTCAGTTTAAATTTTTTTTTTTTTTTTATTTGCCTTCAAGGAATTTCATATTTTCTGTCTGTTGATTTTAAAGTTTTAGGTTTTTATTTAAGTTTATTTAACTTATCAATACATAATGTTAATATTTCTAGCAAATGTGAACTTAGGATAGATATGGAAATCTTAGGGGAAAAAAAAGAAAGGCAGAAAAAAGCTAACCAAATCTCATAAATGTGTTGCTGATAAATTTATTATTGAAAATAAAAATAATAAAAATACAAAATAATACAAAAAATAATCCGTATAGAAAACAAAAATAATAGATAATGATATTGTTGAAAATGAAATAGATATACTACATTAAGGTTTTTAATATCAAATTTGTGTTAGTATCTTATAATGTTAAGTCGCTCCTACTTATTGATATGACTATTTGAATATTTTTCTTTAGATAAATAGAAAATCTTTCTAAGGAGTAGTAATTAATTCTTCTCGTACTATAATAATGATAATAATAATTAATTTTTCTCTGAAGTCAAATAATTCATTTTTCTCTAAAATCAAATATATAAACCGTTGAGAATTTATAATTCCTTTTGTTATCTATCATCTTTTTTTTTTTTTATTTTAATCAACTCTTTTAGTTCGAGTCATTGCAATTTCTTGCCGTCGACTCCATCCACTAAAGCTTTGTGTATTATTTTTTTTCCCACTTTCCGACTTCAATCGATTATCGTTTTGAATTTTGTTTTCTAATTTCACCCCACGAAATCAAACGATATAGAACTAAAATAAAAATAAATGAAAAATCATAGGAAGATAGAGTCAAACATTCTTCTTTTTTTAGTTTCAAGTTTGAAATTTTGTTTGACAAAGGGAGCTACGATTCTTTAAACATATCTTATTTTTCTTTATATTCAAAATCCAAATTTTAATATCAATTCAATCATAATTCATGTCCTAAAATTTTTATAATTGTTGAACTAAAAGAAATGTGAATTTTAATTTCAAAAAAAAAAACATTTACAAAGGGTATAAAAAAAATCACATTCAAACAAGCGTGTTGAACTTATTTATTCAAATAGTCTTTTTTCCTAATATTTTTTTTACATTATATTTTTCTTGTCCTATTGAAAACTCCACACCAAATTGGCATATTCTTTTTTATTTTTCTTTTCCTACCAAATTTCCTAGAAAGTTCTTTGCTCCATTTGGTATGTTTGGTAGATGTCCAACTATTAAAGGCAAGCTTTAATCGCCATAGTATTTTTTTTATGAAATTTATATGCACTCAACAAATTCATGAAATGTTACTAATATTATCATTTTTTACATCATCATTATTAATCATTTTGATTGCCAACTTGAGTATAACTTAATGATTAAGATATCTATTTCCGATCAAAAGTCATGAGTTCGAATCCTCACCCTTATATATTGCACTAAAAAATCGTTTGAACTGATTTGTTATTTTACATGTATATATATATAAATCATTTTGACGGTCTGGTTAATTATCTAACTTAAGTTTTTTTTCAAATTTTCTTTATCATTATGTTTTTTTATTAATAAAGAACCACTATATGACTCTTTAATTAATTCATCATATCTCTACCTTCACGTAGTTTTTTTTTTCCTTTTTTCTCTAAAGTGGTGCATTTAAGTCAAGTTATCCTTTTAACAAAATAATAAATAATTACATATTAACATTACATAAAATCCAATCCCTTTAATCTTTTATGAAGATTCTAGGAAGTATCAAATAATCACACTAAAAAGGGGAAAAAAACCTCAAAATAATTATTTTGACTAATTTCGATAAAATCGAAATTAAAAAGAAATGTCAAAAGTACGAATACGTGGGAAAATAATTCCAAGCCTTGTAGGAGAAGGTATTGATTTTTTGGGAGAATTAAAATTCCACACCCACGTGGGGACGACGAGGAAATAACAATTTCTCTAAGGACCTTTTCACAAAAGAAAATAACAATTAAAAAAAAAAAAAGCGCCAGAGATTGACGTCACCCTTCCATGCATATCCTTCATTGCAATTTATTTTTCCAAGCACTTCTTATTTTATTTTTCTTCCTTCTTTAAACCTATTTAAAGTCGTATTTAATAAGCTTTAAACTTAAAAAACGGTTTAATAAGTTTTAAAATTTTTCATTTAGAATTATATTTAATAAATCTTTAAATTTAAAAAACGGCATAGTTAATTTTAATTTAAACGTATATCTATCTACATGAGAGAAAGTCATCCAATGAAACAAAAGTTTAAATTTTATTTTAGTTCTTTAACTTTCATGTCATTTTACTTTGAAGTCTTTAGATTTTCAAATATTATGTTATATGTTGTCATACAATATAAATACATTTTTTAGGTACTCAGGAATGTAAAGTGGTAATTTGAATATGACCTTTAACAAATCGAACTATGCTCGAGTTACCTTACAGCATCATTACATTTTCTTTTCATTTTGAGAAAGAATATCATTACATTAATTACGTGTATCTTTTTCATCATATAAGAATATTATACTTACATAAAATGATTAATTATCTAATTCTCACAGCCCAAGACTTAATTATTCATTTAATTGCAATCAACTCTCATTAATTGTCAAAACTTTATATAGGTGGTTTATCAACTAAAGAAAGAAATTTTAAAAAAGGCCTTTTTTCTTTTTGTATATTTCCGTTTTGCTTTATATAAATATATATATTTTTATCCTAAAGCTAAAACCCACTTGAAAGATTTCTTTAAACCCTAAGACATGGCTACCCAATAAGTTGTTTCCTCTTTCTCTCTAAATTAGTTCTTTTTAGATTAGAAGTTTTGGTAGAAATTTGAGTCCATAGTTCATCATTTTCTTGCAATTTTGGTACTTAATTTGCTATTGCAACTTGGCCTAATTGCCTTTGAGACAACTAAAAAAATTAGGGAAGATASTTACCTTTCTCTCCCAACCAAACTAAGTATGGCTATTTGTTTATTTTCCATCCATAATAATAATAATAATAATAAGAAGTATGGTTATATATAATGAAAAATTAACCACGTCATATTTTTCTTAGTACTACAATGTTAAAGTCGGTTTGATAATAGTCCAAGTGTATGGTATCAACTCTATTTGTATATATATAACTTATATTTGATTAAATTATAAATTTAGTTTATGACCTATTGAACATAATTTTATCATTAATGAATTAATGTTGATTGATATGTCTATTAATTTGTTYAGTTATCTGCCCATTGCATCAATTTGGCTAAATTAAATTTATTTAATGGCCATTAGTCAATCTTTATTCTTAAATTTTGAAAAACATGACCGAGTGATATTTTGCTATTTCTTAAATTATGAAAATTGCTTTTATATATGTTTTTGGTCTCTCTCTCATTTTCAATTCATTTTGAACAAAGAGAACAAGTTGGGTAAGTTAAGGAATATTCTTTGCATTAAAACATCATTTTAAAATGTTACATACTTTCATGCAAAGACAAATTGAATATTATAAGTGGGGCTGAGGCTGATTATGTTGACCTTATAATTAAATATTTTAAAATATTTGATGCACACAATTTTCACAATTTTATGGTGTGTATATTTTGTTTATAGTTTATGTATGATAATATTATTCTAGTGTATAACTTTTTTTTAAGTACAATACGTGGGAGTTCATATTTGAACTTTAACTTCATGATTAGATACAAACTCAGTTATATTCTGGTTGGCGTGAATAACTTTTTTTAAATAAGGTTTATCTACAATTCTATAATTATATGACATTAACTAAAATCATATATATATAAATTTTAGTCTTCAAATGTTATTATCAAAGTGTCTTTTTTAACATAATTTAGTATTCAAATTTCAAATTACCAATTAATTTCAGTTTGACAAATTCCATCGTTGAATTTTGAATTTTGTATTTTTCCTACATGGAATATTAATTTGAATAATTCTTTATTGTAGGTTTGTCATTTAAGTTGACAATAAATTATTAATATTTTATTATAAAATTAATATAAATTGTTTAAGAGCCCATGAAAATCAATAAAATTATATTTTGTTAACCTGAATATAGTACAATTAATTGAAGGTAGGGGAAGAAAAGTCATTTAATGGAAGAAAATTGAATCCCCTCTTACGTCACTTTAAAGAAAAAGGAGGTCAAAAGCCATTTTGAACCACATGATTGCCAAAAATGTACAAATAAAGTATTTAATACTCTCTCTGTCTCATCCAAATAACCACAAAGAAAGAAAAAGAGAGTTTGACAAATTCAATGTCATATTTCAGATCCATGGCTTTGGTTTTGTCATTTCAAATATGCTTAAGTTTTTGAAACTATTTTGGTCCATTTTCATTCTTATATTTTTAAAATGTCCATTCACCATGGTTATTTCAGTCACTATATTTTTAACTTTGATTAATTTTAGTTTATGTACCGTCTAAATATCTGTTTTTGTCATTGTAATCCTAAAAGTGATCATTACGACTATTTTATTTTTATCTCATTTATTTTATAACAATTTTAACATACCACTTCACTTACTAAAATGTTTGACTTGTAACCATAAATGTGTGTTAAAGAATTTTTATTGTGTATAAAATTCGTGTTAAAATTTTACAAATAAAGGCAAAAGCGATCACTTTTAGAAGTGCAAGGACCAAAAAGGATGTCTTTAGAGTATAAGGACTAAAAAGGAAAAAAAAAATAATTAAAGTATAAAGATCAAAATGAACTTCTTGAAAATACAATGACCAAAACGAACTAAAATAAAAAATATATGTCAATAGTTTTATATAATTATACGAACATGAAACGTGATATTGATTTACATTTAGTTATCACCATAAATATATTGTACTATTTTAACTCAGAATACAAAACATATCAAATTCACGAAGGAAAAATACTTCTCAAACACAAAAATAACATAAATAGTTAATTGCGAATTAGAAAATAATAATAATAATAATAAAACTGAAAGAATAAAATATTTAAAAAGAAAAGAAAAAGAAAAAGTTGCAATATGATGAATGACAATAATAGAGCAATGAATCCAATGGTTGATTCATAAAATTAAAAAGAAAAAAGAAAAAAATAAAAGAGCCGTACTGAAGCTGAGCATGTTTTCGATCAATTTGAAGTTCCTTTTAACAACATTTCACACTTTGCTTTGCTTTCAATCTCTTTTCCTTTCCATTTTTTAATCATAANTTTTTCAATAATCACTTATGGGCTCAAAAGCACTGTCTTGATAAATCTAAAAGGTTGGCACTAGAGTGTATAAGCTGAGTTCCCTTTCTTTCTCAATTGCAACATTTTCATTGCTTAACCTTAAAATTTAAAAAACAGTTCTTTATTCATTTCTGTACGTTTGAATCATCGATCTACCTTTTTGTCACTAAATTCCAGCCATACATGACTTTTTTAGAGTTTGTGTTGTACTTTAAAGATAGTGTATACTTAAACTCTAAATTATTAAAAGTTGCAACTACGATTTCTAACTTTAAATTATGCATCTATAATCTACGTTATTTACATTCGTGGTAGAATCCATCGTAAACACTCACTAATTAAACATAAAATAGGTAAAAATAGGTAAAAATGTAGATTATATTTTAAGAATGAAAACTACTCCATTAATTTAGGCATTAAGAGATCAAAATCCTCCAACTAAAGTTCATTCTCAAACCTTTCAAAATACATTGAAGACCTCCACAAAATTAAAGTCAATTCTAGCATCAACATATCCCACAAGTCAACATCATTTTCAACAAGTTTTCGTTTCATCAAAGGCTATATCTAGCCCTACCAAAGGATAGGATAATATGGAAGAACAATAAAAAAGAAAAAGAAAGATGAAAATTTTTACCACCATAGAATTGGCTGAGATAGCATAGAAGCAAGTGAGTAAATGACAAAGTTCCAATCAATGAAGCTCCCATGAAACTTATTGTCATCACATGCAAAATGTGTAGAGAGATTCTATTATCATTCTGGTCCTTCCAACAACCTAGTGGGCATCCCCTCATTTTTCCTATAATGTCAAAATTATACAACATAGTACTTTAGATTCCTTGCACAACAATATAATATGTAATAATAATGTAATAGTACTATTTTTTCACTCCCACAACTAATGTTTGTATCCAAGGTAACACTCCAGATGGTGAAGTATCCAAAGTAAACATCCCAGCTAAATGGAATCCAATGCAAAATTAGCCTCTTAAAATGGTCATTCAGTTTTCCGAAAATGTGATTGAGTGACGTGTAAAGGTTAGAGCTACGATGCACATTGAAGTTACTAATCACGAACCAATGGTTTAAAAAGGAAACGTAGCTTCATCCATATGTACAAACACACACAATGCATCCAAACATGCTTCTCAAACAAGCCCTAAGCTTCTTCTACGAGTCCAATTTTCGGATGTATCGAAGTTAAATGGCGGGAAATACTATATTTTGAACAAACAAAGTCCCTCTTCTCAGAATTTCTGGCTTTACTTACTAACTGATCAACTAAGTAATGTGTAAACAAGCAAGTAAAAGCCTATAAAGCCTAAAACAAAGCCATGAAGAAGATCACAAAGTTAGGCAAAAGCAATGGGAAGAAGTGGGTGAAAGCTTAGAAGAAATGACAGAGCAGAGAATGAAAGGCAACTGAAATTGGAGAAGAGAGCAATGCCATTTTTGAATGCACTAAATAAAGAGATACCTTCTTTTCAGTAATCCAATGTGTTTGTTTGGATGGAGAAGAAAGTGGCATTCACTTTCACTTTTCACTTCTCACTTTCCTCTGACAGTCCCTCTCAGCTCTGAATTCTCTCAAAGCAAGACTGTCTCAATGTCTGATTTGGCTTACTAATAGGCATCAAATCCTTGCTGGGAAAGTGGGGTTAGTTCAATGGTTTTGGCAAATTTTGAGGTTTTTTTCTTTTTCCAGAAATTTTCCATTTAATGTGTTTTGGATTGTTGAGGAAAGAAAAAACTGCTAAGTGAAATAGTGTTTTGTTTTCTTGATAAAGTTTATAAATAAGGGAAATGGTATGATATATTGAAAAAGAGAGAATGTATGTCAACAACAAAGAGAGAAAGAAGATATAAATAAAGCCTCCCTTCCCCTTCCCTTGTTTGAACTTTTAAGAACATATTTTCTAAATAATTCAAGAATAATTAAGAATGGAAAAGTTGTTTTTTAAAGAAAAACGTAGAGGACAAATCAAGAACATTTTCACGAAGTCTCATCAAAATTACGGAGAGGAAATTAAGTTTTGTTTTGTTCAATATTTTGAGAGGGAGGAAGGGAGGAATTTTTTATTTGTCATTTCAATATTTTCTTTTTGGGAAGGAGTAGATATTCGTAAGCTATACTCGTATTGACATTCCATTTAAGTTTCATTATTAGTTGGTTGGTTCAAATTGATGTAATGACTATGATTTGACATATTTGAAACTTTTTGCCACATTAGTTAAAAGAAAAAAGGGAACGAATAGTTAATTATTATCAAATAAAAAACACGGTAAAATGAATAAGCATTCAATTACCTATAGCTAATTTGCACTAAAACATAACCCCAAAAGTTAAACCTTAACTTTTTGAAAATYGTCATGAGATGGCATGTTGGTCCAAAAATAAATTCTAAAGAATTTAGAGAGAATTGATTCAAACTATGGTGGCTATTTACCTGTGACTTAAATATCTTATGAGTTTCCTTGGCAACTAATTGTAGTAGAATTAGGTAGTTGTACTGTGTGTGTCAATTAATCCAAACATTCACGAATATTAAAAAATAAAAAATAAAGAAACTCTAACTTTTTGAAATGAAAATTCAAGGACTAAACATATAATTCTTTAACAGAAAAGATGCTGAGATTTTGGACATTGAAAATTAACTTGACTTAGAAACTAAGAGAGGGAAGCTATTTATCTTCCATTTTTTTAGTTCTAGAAGAAAGAAAAAAGAAATAACTAAATTATTTAAAATATTCCTATAGTTTGAAGTTAGTTTCAATTATGTCCCTATTATTTTAAAATTTTCATTTCTTCTATCTTTACCTTTAAAATTGAACAATTTTACCATAAACACAAGTGATAGAGTTTGATGTTGTAAATGGACTCATGGGCTTTAAAAATGAACAGCAAATGCAACAAGTATTGATAAACCACCATGCAATCATTTTTCCAGCCACATTTGTCAACTCAACAACCACATTTATCTGTTTCAACGATAAAATTGTTCCGTGGCATATTTAAATCGACTCTAAAGGTCAAGAGTATAACTGAAACCAACCTCAGAAAAAGTTTAGGGACATTTTGAATAATTTACCCAAAAAAAGGAAAGAAGAAATATAGATGTTCAAGACTTGAAGATAGGATGAAGGAGAGAGTTTTAATGGATCCAAGTGATTTTAAAGACAGAGGAGAAAGAGAGTTCAAGATGAAATGTACAAGGGTGAGAAACATAAAAATAAAAATGATAAAACCGTTTTTTTTTTTTACCTAAAAAGTGAAAATTTGTTCTTCACTCTCTTTCTAAGTTAGGTATCACCTACAGAAAAATCTACTGGACCATGTATGTGCCAAAGAATTAGTGGATCACAAGTTGTAAGCTTTTAGAATTTGTAGCCTAAAACAAGTGGTTCACATGTCACAGAATACCAAGACCTAATTACCAACAAGAAGAAAAAGAAGAGAGAGAAAAAAGGGCATTACATAAAGCCATTAAAATAGACTTTGTCTGTAGTGACTGTAATTATTTTCCCAATCTCTATATGCAAAGGGTTATCAAATATGAGCAAGGCATCCAATCATAATATGCAGAATTCATAAAGTAGACAACTATTGGCATGACTAGGATGATGTCATTTACCCCACCACACTGATCAGTTCAGTGAATTGAAAGAGATGCGCACTCAGAAAATCCTGATTGAAAGAGATGGGACGAGCACTAGTAAAGGAACAAGCCAGATCAAAGTATGAAAACACCATTCTTCAATCATCATTCTCTAATTTCAAAAGCCATAGAGAGAGATAGAGAGAAGGCATAATAATAAAGGATGAGACAGATGAAAGAATAAGGACCCAACTTCACAGCTGTGATCTTGGCCTTTGCTTTATTTTTACTTCAACTGATTGAAGAATTTTATGAGGGAGAGAATGAAGTTGGTGGGAAGAAATCAAATACCTCAAGAGATGCACAGTTTCCCAGTGAAGTGTGAACAACATCCCACTTGGTGAATTGGTCCTGAGAAGATTTAAGATTGAATGAGCCATCTGTATAGAAACTTAGGAGGATGAGACTCTTTCAGATCAAGACTAAGATTAATCCAACAACTGTTCCTATATTAATTCACACCTCTTAAGATTTAATTAGAAATTGAGACAATGAAAGGAAATTCTAACTTCAATTCTACACCAATTTCCTTTTGCTTTTCTGTTGTTCATACACTCGTCTAGCTCAACATCACCGTTCCTACTAATGTCCTATAGAATTGTTGAAAAATCYTCTGCATAGAACGAAGCACGTTACTAGGTTCTTTGAAAATTTTTAATACAAAGATGCATAAGGTTTAATTTAGATTATTTTTCTTGGCTTCTATAATGAAGTATTCAACACATAGGACTCATTAATCCAAGAACACTAAAATATCACTAAAATTTATTTTTATCTTATTCTATTGTCAGTGTATTTCAATTAGTATCAAAAGGAATATTCATAAAGGTATTAGATACTCTACAATCATTTTGATAAATTTTTCCCAATAAAAGAACTACTTCATTGAAAATATGAAAGTAAACCAGAGGACAAAAAGAAGGTGGAGGAAAGCTTTAACCCAGTCTAAAGAAGCTACAGAAAAGCGTTCCAATTAGCACAAAGAAAAGAAAAGAAAAGTCATAGTTACATAAAGGTTTGGACAAGGTTCACCAAGACAGTCAAAAACACTATGCTCCTGTAAGCTTTATTTCCCCTTCCTGAAAAATACTATTGTTTCTTTCTAACCAAAAACCCAAAGAAAAGAGCTAATGAAGTTCATCTATAGGAGCTTGACCTCTTCTTTAAAAGGTTGATTAAGAAAGCAAACATGGAGAAGGATAATGATAAAGTTAGAAAGTAGAGTGAAACAACCTGGACGAGTTAATTAGGGCAGGGGATTCAGAAATGGGAAGCCATTTGAGCAGATGATGAAAGGATGGTTTTGAGTTTCTTTGTTGTTCTTGCACAAAGCATACCAATTTAAGTGGAGAGACTTCTTGGGATTCTTTCTTTGGACTTTATCATGATTCATGAGTGTTGATGCACCCAAAAAAAATAATGAAGATCTTCAATCTTCATCTTTCGGGAAGAGTCTCACCAAAACTCTATATGATAGTCGAGGACTTGAGAATCTGTTGTAATATCTTTCAGAAAAAGACTTGTCGGGTCCGTGAACCATAGAGATTTATCCTGAAACTTGTGGGGGCAAGTACTGTTTACAAGATCCATAAGAGAATTCCACTTTATCGCCTCCCAATCGTTCAAGTTTGTTTTGAAATCTAAATACCACGAAGGGGAGCTAGACTTCCAAATCTGACTGATGGGTCGATTTTTGCCATTAGCCAACACATAGATTCTAGGAAACCTGGAAGTAATTGAAGCTTCACCTGTTCAAGAGCCTTCCAAGAATACAACACTTTGTCGTTGCCCACTACCGATTTAACTCTACCAGCAAAGAGATGTTCCATACTTGTAAAATTCCAAAAAGTTGCTATTCGGGAATGACTTTAAGTTATTAAATGGGGATTGATAGCTTATAAATTGGCTATTTCTTCTACTCTCATCCTTCTATGACATTGGTTTCAAATGCATAGTGGTATAATTCTTCTCCTACAAAAGCTTCTGAACCGATCCCGCCTATTTACTCTAACCCAGATGTAATGCAAATCTCTAGCTTGTCTATCACAGCAAACCTACAGTCTTTTGTACCCACAGAACTTGATCCACATGATCACAGTTCCGTCCAACCTACTCCAACTCCACTTGTTGATGCACATGCGAAGGCCACTCAAGCATAGCAGGCATTTTTAATCCTGAAACCAGACTTAAGTTTAACTAAACATGATAATATCGTATATAGGACCAGAGAATGTCAAGGGAGGTTCTAACTAGTCACAAGAGGAATGTGATGCTTTGTTGAGAACAATATTATCGACCTCATGATTGAGAAATTGATGCAAATGGGTTTACTGAAGCAAAAGACTATTGGCTGTATTTTACATTATAAAGCTCATCAATTGACAAAGGTATCAATATTATCAAACCCATTGCTCGACTTTAATGAAACTTACAGTCCAATAGTAAAACCTCTTATTAACCAAAAGATGGCAGCTCCGACCATAGGTGTGACGTGTGAATAGGGCGTTCTAAAAGTGCGTCCTCATGGGGAAGCCTCAAGCTAGATCGTAAAAAACTGATTTATAAATTGAATAAGGCTATGTGCCTAGTTTGACAAGCTGAAGGCATGTCTTTTGCATCTTGGTTTCCAAAGTTCAAGAAAGACCCAATCTCTGATCATTAAACTCCCTTTGCTCCTTTGAGTTTGACATTCTGGTTAATGTGGATGAGATATTCATTTTTGGCGGCTGCCCCACTGAATTAAATGAACTCATCGAATCACACAATAAATTTTTCATTGAAGGATCTGAAGACTCTCAATAACTTTCCCGAAATGGATATTACTAGGGGCCCTCAAACGGATTACATTTTTTACTTGTTGAAGAAAACTAATATAGAAAGTGCTTGCTCCTTTTTTACATCTATGTCCAGTGGCCTTTGTTGCCTACAATGGCGATTGTTTTCCTAATGCTAAACTTTATCAATGTATTGTCAAGGCCTTGCAATATGGTAATTTCACACGTTCAGACAGAGCTTTGTTGTCAACAGCAGCGGCCAACTTATGCATAAAGCTGTCGAGCAAATTCTGCGTTACCTAAAAAGGTTTGATGCACAGTTTGATATATCAGTCCATGCCTATGTTGCTGTTGATTGGGCTTCTATTCTATACGAAATAATTTCAAGTCAACTACTGGCTTTGCAATATTTTTTTATGATGATATTGCCACTTGGTCATCCAAAAAGCAGAAAGTCATCTCAGTAGCACAGAAGCTGGGAATGTTGTGTGGTGCGACAACCTCAGCCAATTTTGCATAGCAAACACAGCAAAATTGGCATTATTCCCTCCTGAATGAGCCTAGTGCACGGTTGGCCAACCCCTGCCATTGTTTTGTGTGCAACCTCAGTGCAATTTATTTGAGCACAAATCTCATACATATGCATGAATGAAACACATTAAATTGGACTTATATTACTTGACAAGGTCCTCAATAAGAGTTTATCTGTATATCACTTGCACGTGACACGATCAGCCTGCTCATCTCCTCACGAAGTTGTCCCGTCTTCTACTGTTAAAGGTTAAAACACAAGCTCAAAGTGGTTCCCTCTACCACCCTCAGAATGCAAGTTAGTGATTCTCCCCATCTCTTCCTCGCCCTTATCTCCATAGGTAGGATAGCTTTTTCATTATGAAAGTTCCTAAATTCATGCATCCACCCAAGATCCCCTGTTTATTGAATGTTAATTATCAATTTAGAAAGGTTAGCACCTTTTATCTCAATAAAATGAAAGAATCTCCCATCAGACTCCATTCCCTTGAGGAAAAAAGAAAACTACCACAAGGGAATTAATTAAATACAATCATGAAATAGATTGTTGGAGGACATACCTTACATTATTTTCCGCATGTAAGTGGCAACCTCACTTGTATTGCTGAAAAGATTTGGGAAGGAAATTCCAGGCGACACAAATTAGCTTAGAATAACCATCTTCCATAGTAAACTAACGAGTAGTTTTGATAGCAGCATGCCCAATGGATTGCGTAGAGTTCCACTTTCTGTCATCACCATTGCCCTGGAAAACCTTCTGAAGTACTTTGAAGGAATCAGACAGTCTGTTCCACACCAAACAGTTCAGCCAAAATGAAAAGGACTGTCCTTCGACAAAGTGCTCTTTCCTTTTGTTTCCTCAACTATTATCCTTCTATTTTGAAACTAATGTCCCTACTATACTTCATTGAAGGAACCTAAGGAACCTGGTCCTCCCTCCTCCAACCTAAATCTTCCTCGGTCAATATCAGTTCAATGATCTCTATATATATTTCAGGCAAATTTAGCTTCCTAACTCTATGTTTAAATTAACATTTTTTTTTTTTGGATAAGAAACCTAAGACATGTATTATAAACAAAAAAAAGTCAAAACAGCCTAAGGGTTGGGGTAGAGAGAACCCCCACCCAAAAAACGCTAAAAGATGGCTTTCCAACTGTTCACAACCATAGAGAAGCTGTAGTTATAGACGAATTTCCTATTTGTAAGACACCACTAAGAAGATGGTTCTATACATTCCTACCAAAGGTGTCAAAAGTGTAAGTCTCATCTTCAAATGTTTCTAGCCAAATGTGCCAAATAATAGCCCTCCCTGCACAATTCCAAAGGAATTTAGCCTTTCTAGATAAAAACCAGCTCGTCAAAACTTCAGTGACTGCGTATACAAGCCGAAATGCTTAAAAATCCAGCAGAAAGTACCAGCTCGGACCGCGAAAGAGCAATGGATGAATAAGTGTTGTGAGGTGTATACTTTTAATCTCAGCATGCACAACTTTTACTAATATAAATACTAAAGCATGACTTATCTGCAAGCATCACAACAAAGTTTACACTGCTACAATTGAACAGCATAATATAGACAGATCATAGGTGGACAGGGGGTTAAGGGAAGAGATTAGAAATAAATGAATGGCTTACCTTACATGAGAAGTTACGATGTATCAACAGTTAAATACATACAAAGCTTCATATACATTACAAATCGAACTGACTTCATATAAAAATGTCAGATTGCTTTGATTGTGCTTTGAGATCCTTCAATTTCTTCAAAATGTTTGTGAAGTAATCCTGCAAGTATTTCTCTAAAGTTACTATATCTTTTGCATCTACACCAAGGAGATTGTATGTCTCTGTCATTGGAACAGAGAAAACGGTGTCGCTTGTAAGAACCTACAAATTTCCCAGCGAAAGATGTTAGCCTCTTTACATGAACATGTTCACGAATAAGAGCTTTATCAATGAAAAGGCAGTCGTGTTAATTCTGGCTGTAGCTTATCACATATCAATGAAAAATCTGCCCAATGTAAAAAAAACAATAATAAAAGTAAAAAAGAAAAAGGACCCTCAATAGATGCAGTATAGCAGAAATACAAGGGCTTATTACCTCTGAAAATGCTAATCTGTCAGCAACATCATTTGTCCACTCAAAAAACCTTGTCAGTTGACGAGTGAATCTCAACACTGTAACTGGAACTGTAGTAACATTTGCATCTTGTCCAGCAAGCCTCTCACATAATGTAATTACCTGGAAACAAAATGTAACTTATAAAATCACAGAGCATCTTTTGCTATAGGGGCAATGTCGCACAACATATCACTTATGGATGCAACGTCAATAGAGCAACACTGTTCAACCAAAATAACGTATCAATACATTGTCTGTGCTAATTGCTATATCATAATTTCCTAAAAAACCACGAGATATTGAAGAGAACTGTGTTGATTACAGCAAGTTCTAATTGAAGAAAATGAAAGCCAAAATATATGTACTCAGCCACTCCTACATGATACATGTTCAAGCTTTAAGTTCTTGCATGATTTCACCATGGGAGGGGGAAAAAGGTTGTAAAAAGGGGGCATATAGGTCCAGATGACATAGCTCAACTTGTAAGTGCTTTTCGGTTTCAATTTTGAGCAGTCTGATAGAGGTAAATGAAATTCTTATTCTGGGTAGGTCTGGTGAGGAGCTTAAAGAAATAGTCTGTCTTACAGAAACCAGGATATGATTACTTACCTCTTGAGTTGTCCATGCCCGAGGGCCAGCAAATGTCAGAAGTTTCCCATTTATATTCTCATTACGCAATGCAATAAATGTCAACCTAGCTATATCCTGATAAATAAAAATATCATGTTAGATATCATGATTTATTATGACTACATTGAAAACAATCAGAAGCTATATTCTTAAGCAAACCTGGGTGTCCATGTAGGCAATTCGTGTGGGAGCATCAGTTCCCCAAACAGATTTCTCTTCTAGTATAGGTACTGCATACTGCCCAATGAGACCCTGAACAAACAAGAACTTCCTCTTAGTATCAACTTTCAAGAATAAAATGGAAGCTTTGTGAAAATAAATAAAGAGAAAACACAAAACTCAAGAACGTCAAATTATAGGGATAGACATTCATTGAAAGATAAAATGATCAAGTGCTAATTCTGGTGTACCTTTCTTTGAGTCTACAGACTATCTATCTATTCATGCATATGAGCAGAGAACTATGTCGAAGAACAGGTGCCTTAAAGAGTACAAATATACCAGAATAATTCATTTCAATTTATTGGTTCTTTTTTTAAGTTTTTATGAATGGACTGTAGGATCGATTCTGATATGAAACTAGTTCCTCCAGGAGGGTGGGATAAATCTAAAAAAAATCCACAACTAGTAGCAGCCAATAAATTATATAGTAGAAAACAGGGAGCTTCAATTAAAGTGATAATTACTTGCATGAAACCACATAGCCGGATGATGATATGATTCAGGCCCGCATCCTTGAGAAACTTCTCAGTGCAATACTTGATCTCCATAAGTGGAACTTCAGGATGCTTGTCACAGTTATGGATGGAAAAGAAAATATATTTCTGGATTCCCATAGCCTTTGCACATTGTATCAGAGCAACTTTTCCTTCCCAATCTACCTAAATAGAACATAAATCGGATAAGACATAGATCTTGATAAAGCTCGAGGAGGGACTCTTGTTAGACTTCAAATCTCAGAGTGCCACAGTTAGTGTTAGATTAATCACTTGAAATACGAGACAATGAATGTAATCATCATAAATTTTACAATTGCTTAAAGTAACATTAAATTTGCAATTGAACTATTGAATGATAATAAGCTATAGTATCATGATATATGTCTAACAATTATTCACTTGAAGATCACCGTTAATTTAAGCATCTCATTCAAGTCATTGATGTCTAACAAGTCAGTATAACAAGCAGTCAAGTACTGTAATAATAATTGTAATGTAATCAGGTACTAGGAGAAAAGAACCTGAGCCACTAGACTAAAATAATACGAAGAGATGAAAAACATGAAAATTATTCATAATGTGATAATATAATTATAAGTAAAACTACAAACTCATAAAATTTCAAACAGCAAAACAGTTCACCGCTCAATTTTATTTTAGTGGCTCGCAAAGCTTCGTCTACACTACACGTTTGTAACAGAAAATAGATATAAATGTAAAATGCAACAACGTTTATAGAAAAGACTCGAAAACTCAATATGAAAATCACCGTCTTAATGGGCTCTTCCGGCCGTCCTGTAGCACAGTCTATGATAGTGTGAATGCCGACCAATGTTGCAGGAATGGTTTCAGGTTTACTTAAATCGGCCTGCCATACATACAACAATGTTCCAGCCTCAGTACTGAACACAAGATCGTCAACACAATAAAACATCTATTTCGCGATTCGTATATTCGATGCAATGCATTGAGCAGAAACGAAGAACATAAACATAGATATCGAGAATGAGACACACATTGACGACAATAGCGCCCCAATCGCGAAGAAAATCAGCAGGAGCCGGTCGAGGCCTAACAAGACACCGAACTTCGTAGCCTTCGTCCAATGCGCGCCTCACAATCTGCCTACCAAGAGTTCCGGTAGCACCGACCACCAGTATGCTAGTCGGCCGGACCGGTGTCCCCGGCGCCAGATTCACAGGTCCTGTTGGCTGAGCCGTACATTTAACTACCGGTAGCAAGCAAGATCTCCCTAGCACAATACCATCACAAACACACAGAAAATAAACAACCGGAATCATAAATTCTCTTCGGTCATCTACATAGAAGGTAGCAAATTAGTCGGGAGAGTGATGGATAAGAACTGAGCATTTACCGGAGGAAGATGAAACGCATGGAGAGGCGTGTGAAGGAAACGAAGAGAGCAGAGCATCGGAGGCCGCGAACGCGCGGCGGGAAGAGAAGGTGTCGCGGTGTCGCCGGTGGAGTTTGCCAGGTGGCGCTAGTTGTGTGGGCAGCCTCAGCGCCATTGTTTTATCTTTTGGTTTCTGTGTAGTGTTTGTCACTCTCTCTGAGAGAGAGAATAAAGGATGAAGAAAAAGAATTAAAGATGTGAAACTTGCCACGTCGATCTCGGAAGTGGATTATGATACGTTCCACGTGTCGTATCTCACCCGTCTACTCTGAGTTAATGTTTTCTTCTTATTATTTATGATTATTTAATTAAGGAATTGTTTTAAACTTTAGTTTACTGAATTAATTAAAAAATAATTATATTAAAATTCGACCGCCCTAGCTTGAGCATAGTTTCAATCGGGTTGATTTTAGTTTAGTTTCAAATTAGCAGCCAACTTCGAGTGGTAATATATGTCCTATAAATTCTATTGGCAAACCTATGTCCTATAAATTCTATTAGCAAACCAATTTAAATAGTTTAGGTACAGTTTGATAAGAATTTCCTTTTAAAATTCCTACTTTATAGTCAAATTTAAAAAATGAAATAAAATTTTGAAGCTACTTTTTTTTTTCAAAATCTAAGTTAGATTTTAAAAATGTTATATAACAAAACAAAAGAAAGTGAAGTGAAAGTAATGTGTTAGCTTCACTTTTAAAAATAGAACATTAAAGAAAAAAATAAAATAAGTTTTGAGCAAGATTTTAATTATTAATGTAAGTATTATGAAATAGAAAGATTAAAATATTCATCTCATGTGGATTTAGTTGATATTAGTAAAGTTTTAGATTTGTATTTAATTAATTTATTTATAACTTGTTAATTAGTATTTTATATTTCAATTAGCTATTTTTTTTTTGTTTTTCTGTTAGGCTATAATTTAGTATCGCCTATTAGTATTAATAGGCTGCATCACCCAACATATTTATAGTTAACCTACCACAACTATTATTGTGGTTGCTAATAGAATTCAATTTCAAAATAATAATAATTACCTTTCATAGTCTTAAAATTTTAGTTATAATTTAGAAAAAATTGTTTACTAAAAAGACTACAATAGAAACCTAACATATTACCATATAGTTAACTTAGCTTAATGAATCAAGACTTTTTTTTATTTAAAAAATTTGAAGATTCCAATCCCCATTCCCACCCATTGTTAACTAAACTATTCTCATAAAGTTGATCTATCTCATAGTAATAGTAAATTTACACGAAGGTACTGATGTAAATGGTAAGTAATAAATGAAATTAAATAAATATGAGGATTCAATTAAACAAAAAATGACCGCAGACAACCCAGAATGACCAAAATCTGCTCAAACCATCATCCATTTATGAACTATTGAAGTTACCATCTCTGCCTCCATCCACCGGAAGAATTCAAAAAATAAGCAAAACTAGAAGCTAATGCCCTAAAATCCAATTCTAAATGTTCCTTACTGTACAAATTTCAAAACCTATGCCGACCTATTATCCTTTCCCACCTCCGTTCTATGTACAGAATGCAGAATTGCTACTACTTTGAAAAATGTTATGCAATTGGATGGGTAACCAAAAATTACCCAAAAAAAATTGGTCAAACCTTATTGAACTGACCCTTTTGGTTAGTCTGAAAATAACTCTTCCAATTCTGGTCGCTCAGGCTTCGCTTGAACACCAAGATCAGAGTCAGAAATATTGGCCAATCTTTTCTCTCCCAAACCAACTCCAATTTCTAAATATTCCATGCCAGACCAGTCTTGGTCGTCTTCTGTTGCTGCAGTTTGATCGTTTGTCATCTTTCCTGTCTCTTTGTAGCCATTGTTGTTTCTCATAACATCATCTGTTTGGTTGGGAAGAAGAAGTGGAATTCTCTTGGCCTTTGAGTCAGATTCCTCGCATATGCAGGCTGATGGGTTTTCATGAAACTCACCTCTTCCAGGCTTCACCTCATTTGGCTCTCCCATGAAGCCAACTTGATATGTTTGGACCTTAGATGAAAATTCTCCCCATGTCATGTTGTTTCGGTCCATGAACACTCGGTACAGCTTCTTGGCGTTCGGCCGGATGGTTGGTTTGTGGCCGAAGTACCTCCTGCAATAAAGAAATGTACTTCCATTGTTAATGTGTAAAGCTTAGAAAGGTGTTTGGCAAATGCTTCAAATTGGATTTGGTTACTTAAAGATGTTACTGACAAAATACCTTCGTCCCGCTAAAATCTTTGCCATGTTCCCATTATTGTTTGTGACAAAAACATTACTTTCATCACAAACAATGAAGTCTAGAGCAGCCATTCGAGAAGAAAATGAAGAAAATGGTGCCAACTCTTCCTGGCTGGCTAGAGTCTCCTTAGTATGGAAATTTGGAAACAGTGCTTTTAATGGAGCTAGAGTTTTCTCTCCTCCATATACTTCGCCAGATGCTACATAAAGTTGCACATCACTTCCGAAGCCCAGCCCTCGAAGCATGAGACCGACTTCTTCTGGAGTGAGAGGGCATCTTCCATGCCTTCGTACTTTATCGGGATTGCTCACCTGCAAATCACACAAAGGATAGGATTTCATATTCCAAATTCCAATCCAGATGATAACTTCCATGACCAAAATAGAACCTTACATGTAAACTTTTCCATCTCTTTCGAATTTCTCCAAGTTCTTTCCTTTCAGTCTCTCCACCACCATAATAGCATCCAGAAAATGCAAGCATATCAGGCTCAAACCTGAGTGACGATACATTATCAAACTTACATCAACCAACTTCTAAATTTTAATTCAAAAAAATACTCCAAAGAATTAAATCTAGATTTTGGACGGGCATCTTTTTTACGGCAAGCAAAAATCTTAATGGCCATATATAGCTTAAATGTGTATTCAACTATATCAAATTATGCGATCACGAGAAATGCAAACTGCAGAAGTAAACAAAAAAAAAATAAATCACAGCAGAAACCTATTCAACCACATTACTTAAATCTGCACTTCAACTATGTTCTTGCCGTAATATTACATGGATGTATGCTTTAGAAGCCATAAATAAATAAGCAACTGTTAGCATATTGAAGCAGGTAAAGAATAGTTTATTGTATCACCTCAGATGTAGGGCAATAAAATTTTTGCTTTTCATCCTCATCCTCTCAGCCAATTTTTGACCCATTTCATTGATCTGATCAGTAAACTTTAAAGCATGATAGTTAACTCTGCATCTTAACTTCTGTAAGTCCGTTGCCAACCTATTTGAAAGCCTATAATCAAATTTTCCAAGCTGAACAGCCTGTAGAAAAGAAAAGAAAACGTTAAAAACTTGACCCAATTTTAAAATTATCAAAATGCTTCAATGAAAAGGACAGTTGATGCACAATATGACATATACCAACACATCACAAGTGGTCATGAAGAACACATGGAAATCAACTAAATAGTGCAAAAACCTAATTAATTTATACAGACATGCAACGCAGAAACGAAGCAATGAGATATTTATTGAAGGTACCAACAATTTACTCCTCAAACATGCTATTTGCTTGAATACCAAATCAATCAGGGTCTTGAGTTGCATCAGTGATAAACAAAGTATATTGACACTATAATTAATTGCTGTTCTGAACTGTATACTTACATGCTTCTTTTTAAGAACAGGAAGAACATGTGTTTCATAGCATTTTGGAGAACACTTCCTTGGAACACGCATGCTATGCGGAGTCATAGCTTTCCCAACCTTCATTGGTAATTGTTTGATGATTTGAACATCTTTCGAGAGAAATGTAATAAACCAGTCAACATCAAAGATTTCTGCAAAATTGCTGCATCAAGCACCACTTTTCAAATAAGTACCATAGATCTACTAAGTTTACTTCCATCGACACCATTTACTATTATAAAGGTAGCCTCAAATAGAATGTGATCGAAAAGTCTTTATTACTAACCTGGTATCCTTCCAAAATGAATTTTGATCAAGCTTCGGAACAACTAGAGTGGCATTCAAAATGTAAGCTGCAACAACAGCATCTGTTATCTGCAGTCATAGTTCTAAACATATTATGGGAAGAATGAGAAAATAACACCCATATTCATATCTTACACTTTGCAGTAAACGCATACTTCAACATTCATATATCAAATTTCGTACTGGTTACTATACATATAAATAGTGAAGAGAAGCAACTGCCATCCATCAGTTTAAGGCTGTAGCTCATAAATATCTTTGTATGTGGAATTTCATTTCATTAATCAACATCTAGATATAATTAATGCGTAATAGAAGGGAAGACATGCCTCGTTGGCCCTTCACAAGTTATAAACTGCCCCAGCACATACACGCTTTCAATAGAAAAAATATATATATTTCGAAACTTATTCCAGTCAACTAAAGCCAGCCAATTTTTTTTGGCACTAAATCAGGGAATAATTGTGAACTGAAAAGAAATACTTGAATWAGACGATCAATCTCCCCCAATGAACAAATTTTTAAAATTTACAACTTTACTCAATCTCCAAAACGTTCACTACAATTAAATCCAGAATCGAGTAGTAGACGAGACTTACCCCTGTTCTTTGTTGATTAAGGCCTCCACTCGTACTAATCAACAAGTATCTATCGGGATCGGTTTTCTCAGCCGCCGCTGCAATTCACAGAAACACAGCTCAGATTTAATGAAGAGTAGCCTCGTGGAACAAAGTTAAAATTAAATAAAATTTTGAGAAAGAAATACGCAATCTATATTCAAATCGAACAAAGAGAGGGCACAAAATTCAAGCGTTATTAAAACGAAGAATTAAATGCTTTACTCGGGAACTTCTTGCTGGCATTGCTACATCCATAGAAGAAACTCGATTGACCTGTAGCCCATAAATCACGGTCCAAAATCCTTCCACTTTCCTACATAATATTTCAACAAACACGGCATAAGAAATTTCCAGAAGCAATTACGAAAACTCAAAGACACAAAAACCAGAACTCGAAATCTCCGATCCAACAATATTAAAATTCCGTACAGGAACGTCGAAGGATGATTCCAAAACAGAATTCGATACGTGCTCAATGCCGCGGTCTCTCTGAAAAGCAAAAACGGGCAGAAACAGAATAAATAACAGATAAACATTACGAAACGGCGAGAGCAGAGATGAGCGGTCCATACCGAGCTTCCACCATTGAAGAGAGTTAAGTGGAGATGATCATGATGGATTACAGGGGAGGAAACAAGAAGAGACAGAGCAACAAAGCAGAGGAAAACACAACCAGCTAGAGCAGAGAGAATCGGAAAGATATGGTAGTAGAAACGGCGGCGACGGAAGAAAACGTCACAGAGAAGATGGTGAAGACCGGCGAGAGTTGTATCGGCCTCAGTCCGCCGCTTCTTGTTCATGGCGATCGGAGAAACAGAGGAGGAATACAATATAGATATGGCACAGCGGCGGCGGCGGAGACGGAGGCGAAGAGCATCCGATGGCCGGTGGATTTGCAGGACCGAGTCGCGCCTTCGAACGATGATGAAGACGACGAGTAGCAAGAATTGTATATAAACTTTCCCCCACAACTCAACAAAAATAATAATAATACTAATAAATAAATAAAATAAAAATTGGTAGAGAGAGAATGTTAAGTCTAACTCAGTTCTCACCTCGAACTAATCGTATCCAAAATCTTTGTGGAGTTCGGCTATCCTGCGACTGCTCACACCGTTTTTATCCGTCTCTCGCCTACTCTTCAACTGATTTTTTTTTTTTTTTGAGTTCTCAACTGATTTTCTTAAATTGTTTTTTGTTATATTTTATTTTTAGAATTTTATCAAGAGATTTAAACCACCATCTACTAGGAAAGATGCTACTGTCTCACCATTCTTTTCAACTATTAAAATTCAAGTAGAATAACAATATTTTATTTTTTTAAAATTAAAAAATCATTGAGATTTTATCTTTTGATTTTAAAATCGTAAATTTTTAAAATATTATATCTCAAATGAATGGTGAAATTTTAAATAAGAGATAAATACAAATATCTAATGATTTGAGAGTTATGTTATTGATGAAGATCTATTTAAAAAAGTGATTTTAAAAATTTTCTGAAAAGTAGTTTAAAAAAATTATACTAAAAATAAACAGATAAAGAACAAACTAAATTTTTAGAAAGTAAAATTATTATAAATTATTGGGTCTTTCTTTAGAATCATTATGAATAATTGTTTAATAAGATAAAGTGTTTGAAAATTCAAATAACGGAAAATTAATGAACTCCATGGAATCAGTGAAGGGTTGAAAATTCAAATATTTTAAATTATTAAACTTCTCGAAAAAGGGTGAGGCGATTCCTGATTGGCTATGGGAAAACGAAATTCGGAAAATACGGTGTGAGCGCCTACAGGGGAACGTCCCCACTCCACGGCATTTGTATTTCTTCATTCTGCCGGCACGGCTGGGCAAACAGCTTGGTTAGTTCACGTGCAGGTCACGTGCTCACAAAACGCCATCCATTTTGAGGGTGACGGCGAATTATGGCGCGTGTTCTGATTGGCCAGTGGGGAGACAACAGGGCAACGAGGTGAAATGATGGAGGACTGTGAGGCTCACGCGCGGGGAGGCGCGTGGGACGAGAATCAACCCGGCGAGTCATGACGTTGTCGTTTAGAGTTTGTTTTACACGCTTGACGACGTGGTTTTTGTGATTATTTATTTTTAATTTTTGTTTTAAACTTCTTTTGCTTATTTATTTTTTTTTCGGGTGATAATTTGAATGTTTTTTAAAGTTAAATCCACGTGGGTTTGCTTGAGGAAATTGCAATGAATCAATGCCTTGTCTTTTTTTAAAAAAATAATAATAAATCAGAATCTTGGTAAAGAATAATTTCTCTCAAGAAAATTGGAGTTGAGATTTAATCATATGATGATGACTTTTAATTTAAAAATAAAAGCGAATATTATGATTTACTGACGGTTAAAACTGGTAAGGAATAATTTATCTCAAGAATTTTTGATAGTCAATTATTTGTAAAAATAATTTTCTTCAAGCCCTCATATATAAAAAGAACGGTAGAAGAGAAGTAGAGAGGAAAATGTGGTGAAAATTAAAAAAAAAATCGTGTTTTCATTTAGATTTATTTATTGGAGATTGAAATTAATTTAAGTTCCCTTCCATTTAAAAAATTTGATGTTTTAGGAAAAATGTTTTTAACCAGCATTTGTATGGTTGGTTCCTTCAAAGATTTTTCAAACCTTATTTGTGTAAATATTTTTTTATATAACAAAATTGCATTGGCTTAAGATTGTAAATTGATATTACTATCATATATTAAAAAATAGCATTTGGGATTCATATATATCTTTTGTATTTTGTTTAATTATTAAATAACATAGAGTTAAGTTGATAGTTGTTTTGTTTTTTATTTTCTGTTTTCAAAAGTTAATTTTTTTATAAACAATTATGTGATCCACTTTTAAAATCTTAACTAAAATTTTCAAACCTTTTTAAAATACGTTTTGCATTTAAATTTCAACTGAGTTTTCAATGATATTCTCAATAAAAAAAAAAAAAAACATAACCAAGTTAACTAAATTAATTTTCAAAAATAGAAACCTAATCATCATCAGGTAGATCTTGGATAGTGAATAAAAAAGTTTTAAACATTAAAAAAAATGTAGGTAAAAAGTAAAGAGAATCAGTGAGATTATAGTTAACTATGCCTATACATAAGCCAATTTAATTAGTGAAACCATATACCTTCAATAATAAGTTGGTCCTTATTACCTCATAAATACTCTCTAACCTACTTGAAAATCCATTTGTTTTCTCCTAGCTAGCCCTAAGTTCTAACATAGTTGAAAACCAAAAACGTGAATAAAAATTGAAAATTTTTAATAGTAAGACTACTTTGTGAAATGAGCTAAAATCATAGGAACTAAATTAAAATCGAAATTAAGCTTAAACTATAGTACTTTTGATACTTTAAATCCACATAAGCCAAATTGAAAAATTATCCTAATCATAGAATAATTTAACCTTATATAAAAACTTTCATCTAATCTCCAACTTATAAAGAGGCATTTGGAGGAGAAGGATGAGAGGAATTTGGCATTAGTTGGAAAACACCAATTTCTAAGTTGTTTGAGAGAGAGAGATGATTAGTTTTTGATATAATTGGAGCTCTCCACAAATGGGAAAATGTTATGTTCCTTCCATCCCTTTCATATGGTCAAAATATATTCAAAGTTTGGCCTTCATCAACAAACTATATATATACATATCCAATTAAATGATTAAGATAAATGCAATATTGGTTTAAATACTATATTTTCAACATTGATTTATTTTAATCTATGTATTTTTTGTCATTTTAGTTTATGTACTTTCAAATCGTCTATTTTGATTCATTAGTTCTAAGAAGTTTACCATTTTGTTAGTTTATTTTATTTTCGTCTCATTTATTTTAATTATAATTTTAAAATGATACTCCACCACTAAATTTCTTGAAATGTAGTTATAAATTTGTATTAAGTGATTTTTATTGTGTATAAATTTGTGTTAAATTTTACAAATTGGGACCAAATTTGTCGCTTTTTATAAGTACAGGTTCACTAAAATTTTATCTAAAAAAATTTACTAAAATTAACACAATTTTAAAGTGCATTGATCAAAATGAATATTTCAAAAGTAAAGGAACCAAAATAGTATTTAAAACTATTATGATACTCAAATTTTATACCACCCATCCAATTTAACCTTAAATATAATTTACTCTATTTTTTTCATTTTGGTCCTCAAATATTTAAAAATTTATTTTGATTATTGAATTGTACTTATCGAACTTTCATGAAATTTCAAATTTAGTCGTATATATATAACATCTAGTTGGATTTTCACTAAACTTGGAATTTAACAAAAAGTTGAGTACTAAAATTATGATTTTAAAATTTTAAAGTACAAAAAATATTTGTATAAAAGTTTAAGACGGAAACTATGTAATTTAAATTAAATCAATAATTATTTCAAAAAATTCAATAATTAACTAATAACTATAAAGTTTTACAAAAATAGTGTGTAATCTCAAGTTTTTGTATGTTAATGGAATTTCAAAGAAAAATTAAACTTTGATGTTTGTTATTGTGACACTCTACATAATTTCATAAACTAATTTAATTAATTTAAAATTATTTCCTGTTCCTTTCAAATTTGATAAGGATAGCAATATTTTGAATCATTCAACTTAATTAATTTATTTTTTAGGAGACTTATATGTGTTGTATAATTAAGAAAAAGTTAGAAAAATAAAACACAATAAATATGTCAGATCAATTTGTTACACTGACCTTGATTTTCTTATTTTTTTTATTTCTTGGTCAAACAAGAATAATTTAATTAAAATATATTTTTTTCCTTTTTGACATTTTTAAAGCTAGGGTATATTAAATATAAATTCAATTGATTGAATTTAGAATTATAATATTAGTTATTTAGATGTAAGGGTAGGGGCGACACAATTCTCTATAAAATAAAAGGTCTTGTTTAAAATAGGTTGGTTTAGGTTGAAGTTGGAGAAAATAATATTTTCTAATTTTCTTCAAAGAGAGAAAAAAAAAAAGCTCGAAGAATATAAGACCCCAATCCCAAGTTTTTAAATATTATTATTATAATAAAATCTTTTATGCAATAAACAAAATATATACATTTAAAATGAGAATATTGCAAAAAAAAAAATGTTTAGGCTTGAAGATAAAAAGATCCAACACACCTCAAATTTTCATCATATCTCATTCATTTTTCAAAAAAGAAAAATGTCGTTTCAAAGTCAATTAATTAATTTATATAACTCGAATTTTGATTAGTTCAATCATTATTATGGAATATTGTCAAAACAAACATAGCTCGACAATAATTGGCATATATCTTCAACCAAGAAGTTATAAATTCAAAAGACTTTTTTTAGTATAACATTTAGGAGTGTAGATTCGAATTCACAACTTTTTGATCGGAGATAAATACCTTAACCAGTTAAACTATGTTTCGGTTGAAATTTTTTTCTTGAATATATAACTCAATTTGTTAAGTCATATATCATCGACCTTAAGTTCAAATCTCTACCTTACAAATAGTTTTTTTTTATATATATATATATACAACCTTACAAATAGTTGAACTCATAATAATAATAAAAATAAATTCTAATGAAAAATTCCAAATTAGGTAATTGAATTAGATACAAATCAACTCCAACTATATACCAAATTTCAAACAAATTTGGATTAAATATACAGATCATGGTGACGGTAATGGCCCATTATTAAAATAATTTGACACGCACCTAATTCCATTCCCTTCGAAATTTTAATATCCCTATATAGTTTCGAAATAAATATTAATTTTCCCCTCTGGAACTATAAAATACACATATACCTATTTATTTCATCTCACTGTGAGAAGAGATTGACATTCCCAACACAAACGTGGGATCAGTTGGACCTTTATTAATTATTGACCTCAAGTATAATTTTCGATTTAATAATAATAAGAATAAAATTACGATCGGTAGGACTTGAATTTACGACATCAGTTTTTGAGATCCATGTTCTACTAAACTGAACTAAGAACGTTTTATTATCAAACTAAATGCAACCCTAATGTATCTTGAATACATATTATTATCAAATATAATATAAGGGAAAAAAAGATTGATTCAGTATATGTATGTTCAATTTTTATGAATCTCACTGGATCCCTCGTTACTATTCATACACGATAAGTAATAGGTAAAGATGACATGATTTGAACTCATAACATTTTTTACCCACTCTTGTTTTGGTCATATTTTTAAAAAGTGACCACTTTGGTTCTTTTATTTTATATATATCTTTTGGTGATAAAAATGTCAGTATGATACTACATTCAATAAATTTTTTGAAATGTAATTGAGTTTCCTATGTGTATAGAATTTGTGTATAAATTTTGCAAACAAAAAATAAAATGATCCCTCAAAATAAAGGGACCATAATCAACGTTTTGGAAAATATAGGGATTAAAATGAACCAAAATTAAAAAAAAAATCAAAATTGAAAGTACACAAACAAAAGTTAATATAGCTTCGCACGGACGACACCAATTGTTGTTAGCACCGATGTGTACCTTGTATCAAGATGTAAGGTTGATTGCCTTTTATAAGGTGTGGTATTATTTGCCGAGCTATGAGTCTTCCAAATGAATGATGAGTCTCCATGTAATTGAAAGAACTGGAGACTTTTCGATGCATGTTTCGTCAACAACGGCATAGTGTCGAGAATCACAACGTGTTATCTAAAATTCAATTAAAGGTAAACGCTTGTAAATGCTTTCATTAAATAGGTCGGCTCAGTATTATTTGTCGAGCTATGAGTCTTCCAGATGAATGATGTGTCCAGAAAGAACTTGAGACTTTCCGATGCATGTTTCGTCGACAACGACATGGTTTTATAAAGGAAGATTCCCCTAACACTTGGTCACTCTCCTACTTATATAGTACATTTTTTTGTATTTGTAGCATATACAATATATGTTAAACTGGGGTATATTTTGGATATATGTTACATCTACGAAGTATATGTTAAATTATATGTTAAATTGAGGTATATTTTGGATATATGTTGCATCTACTTTGTTTTTTTATGGACATTCAAACTCACGACCTCTTAGAGTATTTTATCGATAAAAAATTATTTTATTTAATGGTATAAATATGTAAGGTTAAATATTCATAAAGATAGACATTTGTCAAATATTGATTCCATAGAGAGAACATTTGTAAAATATATATATATATATATATAATTTTTAGGAGTTTTAAATGTTTGTTTTTGAGACCAACAATTCTTCAAAAATAATAAACAATAAAAAATACACAAATGGTTAAGTTTTTAATAAAATTGAACAAGAAACGGATAGCTCTCGCAGCACCATTAGCTAATCTTATAAACAATCTAATTCACTCATTTTATCCACCAATTTACTTCTTTTTTTTTTTTTCTTAATGGGAAAAAGTACTTCATTAATTAAAATAGAAGGGAACTGCCACTTGTGTAAACGGGTTATAAGAACCAAATCAGAATTTGCTATAGAATTCAGCCTTGGATCTGAAAGGCATTCAGATCATAAATCCAGGTTTCAACTTGGCTTCAATTGTCCAATTCGCCCGAAAAAAAAAATCTGGTACTAACATCTTCCTAATTTCCTCCTCTTTTTTTCAGGCATATTCTTCAAATGTTCTCGTAAATTTTCCGTCACACAGCCAAAGCCCGATCTCCGTGAAGAAGTTGATTGAAAATGTTGTGTTGGTTGGACAATCCCTAGGAAAAATTGATTCAAGCGAATCCTGCATCGTTTTGAGTCGATCATTCAACACTTGAACGCCCAGACGATCTGCCAGTCCCTGCACCACAATTTCACCAAATTAAATACAAAATTAACATTTCCTCAACTATATACATACAATATAGGAAGATATTTCTCAAACTGGAGAACTTGAAAGTCAATCTCATAAATGTGTTATAAGAAAAAAGGCATGTTACATTTAGGGGGTTGACTAGAAATACCTCGAAAAGGAACTTGATAAAAATCCGAGATGAAGATGTGGTGTCTTCTTCAGTCAAGCGAATATAAGACAAGACATGCCATGGGAGAGCATCCCTGCAAAGTATGTCGGCAAAAAACATAGCTACATTTAGTATCTTATTAGTTTCAAACCTATGAACCATAGAATATTGCTGGACAAAGCATTTCTCAAAATTTTCCTGATACACCTTATTGATCTTGCAAAACCTTTCCCCAACTTCAGCATAAAATTCTCGGTAAATTTTTTGTTGACTGCAACATTCCAACAGCAGCATAACGCATAACTCCATCTGCAAAAGACCACAACCAAGACAGATGAATTGACCCACTCTTGTACTAAAATATTGCAAAAATGCAACATAACAGAAGATGATGCCACACAAACATCAAGATTACACGACACTACTGAGCCAGTTCTAGGATATGATAGTGTGCTATCGGCAACATTGATAAGACAAGAAACTAAGTTCAATTTCAAAAAGGGTATGACACTTTAGACACAAAATATTAGCAATAGGCAAAACTTATAGAACTTACCTCTTGACCGGGCTCAAGTCTAATTTTTAGAAGCTTATGCCCAGCTTCCTCAAAATTTCCACTGGACATAATTGTCAGATAAATTGTCCTTCTGAGATTCACAAGATTGGTCTCTGTTGCATCAATTATTTGCATCTGCTGCTCATTTTCTTCTTCAGCTTCTTCTATGCCATCCTCGTCGTCATCATCTGATCCACCATCCGATTTATCCTTCCCCTCGTATCTCTCAGCAAGTATTCTTTTCTCCAACCCTTCATAACGCTTCTCGTTCTCGAGGAAATTTGGATCAGCTTTGAATATATCTGGCAGCGAGACAAGAAAATAATAAATACATAGATAAAACAAACATCATGAAAACGCCCACTTTGATTATTGAATAAAACATGTACACAGTTTTATAAAAAGAGATACCAAGAGCAATCTCAGGATCTATCTCTTCTTGTAGAGAGATTTCATGAGTCAACTGATCTTCTGACTCTACAAGGTCTAGTTCTGGACGAACAGCTGGATAGCCCTGAATCAAATCCAGAACAAATAAATAAATAAATAAATTTCTCCTCCAACACAAGGAAGCTAGACATGTATGCTAAGACAAAAGCGACTATACCTTGAACTTTTCTTTCCGTATTGCAAATAGGCCTTCAATTAGAAACTGAACCCTTTTGTCTACTTCTCCTTCATGAAGAATCCCTCGAAAACACTCAAATATTCCTACAATAATTGAATAAGAAGTAAAGAAAATTGAATGAACAAAAAACAAAATGTTCAAATAATTTCATAAGATAGATCCAATATAAACAATCAGTAAACATTGTGATTGCACGCAACATATATCAAAGAATTCAGAATAAAGTCATTTCTAATAATCTAGGCATAGATGGAGAAACCCTTTTAAGAGTCTAAGACTATTCTAGTTCCCTCAGTTTTTGACATACATGTATTGCTTCCTTGCCTACAGTGCATATATTTTACAAACATAAGCATTCAAATAGATATTTATTTCTCAATCTTCTATCCAGAAGCTATGTCTTTCTGGATCAAACCAAAACCATCAAGAAGTTAAAGGATCCTTCGATGAATTAACATGATTGAATACTGCCTAAATCTAGAGATAAGAAATCGATACGCACCATGAAACGCTCTGGGATAAAAATCTTGCAGTATTGCTCCACATTCACTAACAAAACCGACGGCCACCTCTACAGTGTCATCCGTAGGATTCTCGAGCAACAGTGTGAGTACTTCTAACCCAATTATTTCATGAGCAACTTGTTGGTTCACTAAATGGGCTATGAATTTCAGGGCAGCAATTAGTTGAGGCTGTCAAAGATAGAGGATCAGATGTAAATTTTAAAATATAAGATCTTAGCAGAAACATAATGGAAAGAAGGAAATACAGTAATATTACCTTGTCATTCCGTTTACATGCTCTTTTGAGCTGCAAGAGCATTCTTCCCAATAGAAGTTTTCCCACCACCGGAAACTTAGAATTCACAACAGCGGCCAGTGCAGCAAAAACGTTTGTGAACCCAGGAGATGCCATTTGTGACCTCATAATGGAGCGGCAGAATAGACCCCTGCCCCTGATGAGGTTCTCTGCAAATAACTCTGGAATTATATTCTTGATATTGGTAGCATTGACCTTGTTCAGAAGACCGTTAATGCTCTTTCGCAGGGCATCCCAGGTCAAACGTTGGTACTGAATGCTGCTTTTATCTTGAAGGTCCTCCATGATTCGGGCCACCTTGGCAGGTGGAAGGTAAACTCCTGCCAGACGCTTATCAGCATTGCTAGGTCTTTCCTCTTTGAGTGTCCTTGACATCGCCATAGTTAGCCTGCAAAACCTGTGGGGGTGAGTGAGTACCAGACTCAACATAATTTTATTTAAAAGCAAAAGCAGAAGACTAATTAACACATATACTCAACTAAAAACAGAACCACAAGAAGGATGTAGGTGAAAATTAAACCATATATATTATTAGCAACCAACTCCTCTTGATGCATGAACATATCAAGAACCTCGCAACTCCCACTACGCCGAATTCAAAATCTGAAAACCGACCGTTTTCCTCTGCCAATATGCACCGACCAGTTCGGTCGGTTTATCGACAGTTTAAAAAAAAAGGATTCACAAATAAAACAAAAAGAAACAACGTTAATTTAAAAAGAAAAAAATCAAATATACCTACTAGGATTCCGAATAGCAGTTTTTAAAGTTAAGATGAAGGGTGGGCGATGGTCGGAACGGTATGCGGGCGACAGGTTATTGCTGAGTTAGGGCGAGCAGCGGCGTGAGTCGTGAGAAAGAAAGCGCAGCGGCTTGAGTCGTGAGAAAGAAAGGGGTTGCCGACGTCGTGCGGGTGA